AGTCTGGTTCAATAAAAGCAAAGATTTGGGTGAAATATCTTTCCACATAGAAAACAATGGAGACATCAGCGAGGAGAATAAAAAGGTTGGGGAACACTGCACCAAGGAACCATTGTCAATCCTACTTATGCTGTGGTAAGACTAATATGTGTTTATTCTCACATGACTCACAGAAGCTGCATTAGAGACCTACAAGAAAACATGTACATTTTGCTGGACCAGACACTGATCTGCACAAATACCACAACAACAAACACAGCCTCATTTCCTTAAACCGTGTGCGTGCTACAGAAATGTAAACACGGGGGAGTGGAAAGCGGCGCATCCCCAGGTCCCGTCTAATGGGAACGACTTCATGTGTCTGAGGTGTGCTTGTTCCACGTCATCGTTTTCAATCAGCCGTTTGCAAACAGTCCGACCAGTTTTAGATCAGGTTGGAAGAATGACACACACAAAAACACACACAGAAGGGTTCAAACAGTGGGTGCTGACTCCTGCCTGCCACAGAGAATAGGCCAGTGTGTCCAGAAAATTAGCCTAAATGAAATACCGGCAAACACTGACACGTGCTATCAGTAATTATTGAAACTTAAAGATTAGGACATTGTGCATTTGTCTGCAATTCGACACACAGGTCTTGCGCCTTGGTCTTTTCAGCTAAGAGTGGCTGATTTGTTAAAGAAAAAGGAGAAACACAAGCTAAGTTCCATTGGGTGAAGATTGCTCAAACATGCATGAATCTCTCTTAAATAGCATTTGAGTGAGTAGATGGGAAGCCCAGGAAAACAAAGATTCAAGCTTGTAAAAGTCTACAGCGTTTTAAGTGTTACTCAGAATGACTTTGAAAACACGCAAGAACACTTCTGGAGAAACAGAGCACCACTGAATGATGTCAAACGGGTGAGTTGACCGGTTGGAGCTCTTGAGAGGGATTACTCAAACACTTTAAATTGAAACCAAACAACTCCAAGGATGTTTTTGCTGAGAAAACAGTGTGGTTAAACATAGAAAAAGGTCAAAGTCAGTTTCTCATAATATGGGACCTTAAACTACGTCAGCAGTGTTCAGGGCGCAGAGCAGGACAGCCCCAGGCCTTTGAAAAACATGACAACACCAGGTGGGTCGGCTGTTTATGGTGCAAGCTGCACTTTGCTTTCAGTGGAAATAGTGGTTTTCAGCGTTCATATCTCTATAGATAACACATGCGACTTTAGGGTGATTGTAAGGTCACGGAGATATGGCATCGGCTCCATAGATGTTCACAAACTTTACAGATTTTAAAAGTGGATCTTGTTTTTATCCAAGAACAAAACAAGATGTTGTGTTTTGAGTTAACAGTAGTAGATTTGGATCTTGTTGGCATGTCCAGCCTACTACAGACTAAAATAACATGCATCATTTTCCGCAGTACAAAGTTTATCTATCCCTTTAACTATTCCATATTCAGTCTCTGACAGAATAAAACTGGATATGAAGTCAAAACGACCTCATGTCATCCTCACATCGTCGAGTACAAACCTCGAGACACAAGAATCTGACGTAACCTCCCTGTCCAAACACGACTTATATTTGAAAAAAGGTCACGGGCTCGTTCAGCTGCGATGTGCTTGTATGCGAGCATACAGTAGTTCGACAGGAAGCGCAGCATGCTCCTTTATGTCAGCCCACGAGTTGTTGCCAAATGCTTTGCGTGTGTGCGTGTGTGTGTGTCTGCGACCATGTGAGAAGGAGAGAGAGAGGGTTTTATCTGTCTGCGAGGAGGAGGCGTGCATGTGAGCAATCCTAGCCACTGAGCGCCTCTTGTGTTCGTGTGAGCGCCTGCGTGCCAAGTGTACACAAGTGCGTGCGTGTGCGAGGGAGGAGCTGTTGAGCACGCCTGTGTCGCTGACCGCACAAGGCAACCGAGGGTCAGGGAAGTTCACCGCTTTTGGACGGGGGAGCTGCTGTTAAGTCGCAGTCTCTGGCGTGCGCATGGACGGGGGGGATGCAGGAAGTGGATAACTGAAATCAGGAGGCAGATAAAAGGCCGTGGAGGTCAATGCAATGTTTCATATGGCGGCGTGCTTTGGTGTCTATCGGCGCGTTGTGTGAAGGCTGGATGTCATTTATGAAAAAATAGTGTCATCAAAAATACAATCCTTTTGTTGAGGATACGTGCTTGATCTACATGACATGATTCTGGTAAGCACAGGCTTTCAAAGTGGTGTCACAAAACATAACCGATACTACATAAGGGCTCTGTAAGGGCTATACTTCCTCTATAGATTCATCTTGTAGTGTGTGTTGGTTACGGTTCTATTGCTGCACAACTAAACAAATGGCCTGTGAATCAAAACCACTATAACCCCTTCTGCATCTTTGCTCTTTCTTATCTATTACTGATTTACACCTCTTGATTGTTTTCCTGTTGTAGACCACTTTCTGCAGAGATGTGTACATGTAGTTTCTTAGTAATTCTTCCAAGAACGTGTCACAAAAAGGTCAGGTCCAGATCCAGACATTACACAAGAGGCTTTTTTTTTGCGGATCCCTGAAACAAAATTCCTACTCATTGCTACAGTTCCGTAACCTGTTATGCAACACTAGAATTCCCTTACAGTGGGACGAATGAAGGATCTCTTAATATTAAAATCAATAACAAACATATATAGAACAATATGTAAGAAAAATTTAGAGAAAAGCTTGTGTGAAGCCAGGTTGCTGTATCCAAAGTGTCCTGGATTCGCGAGCTCATGCAGCAATTCAGTTACTTTGGTGCCTAAAAGGTTAGAAGTAAAGCTAGTTCACAACAAATAACACACAGACAACACTCTCTGTGCGTCATTTATAGGGCACTGTCCGGTTTCCGAAATGTGCTAAAAATAGTTCCAATGACTGCGCATGCGCGCATGTTTCGGACAAACTCTGTCCGACTCCGTTGAGTACTACTGTGTTCTCCACATAAGCGTGTGTATTTATTTGGGCTAAATCATTGAATCATGGTGACAACAAAACACTGCAGTTATGGTGCTTGTGGGAGCGATTTCAGATACTCTGAAAAGGACTATATGAAAGCAGTAACATTCAACCTGTTCGTTAAACCACACCATCGAACCAGACCAGGACCAGACCAGGACAAGTGCAAGAGGTGGGTGCTTGTGGTCGGCAGAATTTCTCTCATGAAAATGTTAAAAAGGACATGTTTTTTCAAAACACTTCGCTGGACCAACTGTGGAGCCTCCAGATCCAGTCCTAGCTACGTTTAGCTGGGACTGGACCTGGACCGCTGTATCAGGTCCGTCTGAGCTCTTCTGAATGTAGTTAGCCCCATCAATCCATATTAGTATTGTTTGTCCTAATCCAGAATGTATACAATTCTCACACCTGAAGAAAGATGAGGGATTTTTTCAACTTCGTGACTATCGGAAAATAAGCACAGACGAAGCGCGTTGGGGTCCGCTTATTATACGGCTTTGTACCAACTGAACACACACAAAATAAACTTCTGTCACTATTCATGCCAAAAGGTTTATTTAATGAGTGCAAAGAAAATAGTTCCCAAAGGTTTTAGTTCACCTACTTTAAAAAAGCGATCGCTTTAGTCGCATTAAAAAAGTATTTTTGTCATGAAAACCTTAACAGATAATTCTGAAAACCTCTGTGCACGTGTGTTGTATGAATATTATATTCTAGCATTAACATTTAAATATGTTGATTGATTGTCGTTTGCGTTTACTGAGTGTGGCTAGCTCCGATAGTTTCTCTCTCAGAGACAGTAGTGGTGTAGCCCGTTGTGACCCAATGGATCTATTATAATATCGGCTGACTGTAGTTAACTAAATGATCAAACTAATTACGAAATGGACAGTACAAAAAACAACTTGATAAATGGAAGTTAATCAGAGCAAAATAAACAAAGAAGGCGCTAACATTGCAATTTAAATGACTAGATAATGTTAGCATAATCCTCACCATTACCTTTTTATCAAATCAAACTTTCTACCAGTCACTGGAAGACCACGACATTCAAGCCAACGTTTTTATTGGTCTACACTATGATCCCTGATGGTTTGATGGTGGAATTTTGCCCCTGGTTTATCATTTTCGTCTAAAGTGACAAGAGGTATTTGATTCATTTTGGCAGTGTTTGTCCGAAACATGTGGGCGGGAGTTGACAGGCGGCGGGGGCGTGTCTTAGTGACGTCATTCAGATAGTTCGCTATTGTCTTCAACTGTTGATTCTTTGATCTGTGTTGACGATTTCAACGATTTTGTTAAGTCCTCTGAGATAACTACTGTTGTGATTTAGGGCTATACAAGAAGAAATTGAATTGAATATAACACTATGAAGAATTTTTCACCCATAGGACAACCATCTATCAATAATCCTTATATCATACTACTTTCTTCGTACACGGCTGCAGTGGCACCTCCTCAGCCCTGCGTATGTAAAAGTAGCCTTATTGCTGGTGCATTGGCTTGGCGCTGGTCCATCTGTCACACACAGAACAGCTGGAGTGTTGACGCTTTCAGTTATGTCCCTGCCTCGCCGCTGAAACCAAAGAGGAAGCTCTCGTTCTACTGTTCCCAACACAGAAGTGGCTTATCGCCTCCACAAGAAGCCTATCTGCTTACTGCACCATTGTTGCCTCGTCACACGAAAAAATACCTATCGCTTTACCGCACTCTAGTCCATTCAGCGTGTCCACAATGACCCGGTGTGCATGCGATGGACTGTCAGCTGTATTCACCCCAAAAAGCAAGTTTCTGTGCTGCAGAAATGGGATATGGTTATACCTGTACGCCTGTGTAATGGCCTCTACATTCAAACGCTCTGAAAGACAGATTATAGGAACATTTATCCAAAACAATTCATGATTCATTGAATTGGTTCCTGCTTTGATAGAACTGAAAGTAGAAAATGTTGTTCAAAAGAGAAATAAACAGTATCTTCTTCTCGTTATTGAAACCACATCTAAGTAGAAATGGCAAAGAGTGCAGGTGGTTGTGACAGTACTTACTGATACTTGAGCCGGACTTGTTCATTGTCTGGGTTGCAGTACAGTCTCTCCAGTTGTTCTTGGGATTCGTCGGCTACACTCTGCCACTTGTGAGTGCTGCTCCTGCGGATCTGCCAGTGGTAGGGCAGTACTGTGTGGTGGTGGGCACAGTCGTTGCCGTAAACACAAAGTCCTTGAAGGAAATCTACACAAATGTCCACAGAGTCTGCCTGGTGTGTGTGATACTGCAGCTGTGTAAGTAACTCAAAGACCAGGTCTAGAGAAGCCTCTTCGCTCTTATCCTGAAATAGCACTCCTTTGTCAGGCTGAGCAGTGGGTAAAAGCAGAGGATGAGAGTCCTGGACAGCAGAGCAGTCTTTGAGCGGCAGGGTTTTGGCCACAGAGGTGAGAAGGTCATTGCTTTTGTGGGAACAGTCCTGAAGAGGGGTCTGGGCTTTAACTATGGGGGATATATCCGTACGAGAGGGGGTGCTCCCAGTCGGCCTCAGGCCTGGTTTTACCTGAAAGCAGTGACTATTGTCTGAGGTGGGGTCAGTGATTTTGGGGAGCTCTCCAGTGCGCTCCGTCTCCTCCAGTTCTGCAGTAGTATCAGTTATTTCCACATCAGTGTCCTGGGACATGAGCCCCGCCGTGCTATCGGCTGCAGAAGACGTGTCCTTTAAACAGTCCTGACCCATGCAGCTCTGTTTTACGACTGCTGCAGCACACAGGTTGCCAGGTGTCCGGTTCGTCTGGCTCCGGGGAACAAACACCCCATCTCCAGAGACCAAAGCGTCCGTTCTGAGAAGAGTGGTAAGGATAGGATCCTCCAGGGCACGGTGGAGACATTTGGCATCTAATTTTCTTGGCTTCTTTTTGAAAAAAGGTTTTACCAATGGAATTTTATCAGACAGACCCACAATCTGGTTCTCTGTGAAGTCGTCCCCTTCACCCATGTTTAAGCTGATATCCAGGGACAGCCCAGTCGACACACCGTCTGCTGATTTCTGGAGAATGTGCAAAGTTTTATCCATGATCCCCTTCAAAAGCCAGAGAGCTCTGTGAGAATAGAAAGAGAGAGAGAAATAAGTAGTCATCAAAGATATCACATATAATCCTATAAGCTCAGTTTCCAAGGTGAAGTCATCTTGGCGCATAACGCTATGATTAATAGTTGCTTGGACGAGCTATTAAGCCATAAAACTCCTCTTTCCTTTCTTCAAGCACAGCCCTCGCCCTGTCTGAGCCAAAACGAAACCTGTCCTGCGACAAATTCTGACTATCCCAACTGCAGCTGAAGAGAACAGAGCCACACTTCTCTACTGCCATTAACGAGACAGCCAAACTCACTGCATGCCAATGGTTTTAGTTTAGTGCGTGGAAAGCGTGTATTTCATGTCAAGCCGAGCACGGGAGGACTAACCTAGTTGTAATTCCATTGTCTCACAAAGTGGTGCCATGCAGGTAGATTGGTTTACAGCGATTCCTACACACTACGCATTCAATCTTGGGTGTTTGCTCCTTTTTCTGAACGTCATCCCAGCACATTAGAGCTGCTTCTCCAGGCCAGAGCGATAAAATCATTACTGTAACAAAACCCCTCTCTCCTGGGACTGTGTATTTTGATCACGGGAGTCCGATACGCAGCCCCTACCGCGTACGTGCACAACGCAGCCGAGCAAGTTCGCACGTAGGCTCCATTCTCACACAAACACACACATTCACAAGCAGTACCAGCAATAAGAAACCAGGCGCACACAACCGACCAGAGATCCACACACCGAGTGCTCTCCGCAGTCACATCATGCATTAACCAGCGATGATCCGAGCTGCAAAACCAGTTCAAAAGCTTTCTCCAAAACAGTCCCTATGCTGCCATTACTACTACATTCAGTTATGTGGACCATCCAGAGCTGCCGCAGTCATCCAAGTCCTAAACAAACAAACAAAAACAAAAATTGCTCAGCTTTTTCCCCGTGAAGCGAGACATGACTGTACCTGTACGATCACGTCCGCCCCACTCCCCCCAATGTCGAGGCTCGGCGCTGGGTAAGATCCAGAGCGAGCATCGCCCAAAGAAAGAGGCTCCGCTCGGGTGAACAAGAACGTCGATCCGTGGCCGTGGTCCCTCTATCCGGGGAGCATGGCGTCAGCTCAGGCAGCGGCTCTCGGGGTCTAGCTCATGCCCTGTGTCCGTGTCTTTGTGTCCCGGAGAGAGTGAGAGCGTGGGGACAGGGTTTGGAGCCCGGGGCATGGGGAGAGGGAGAGAGAGAGAGACAGAGCAGGATAGAGCCACAAAGGCAGAGCAGCTGTCGAGAGTGAACAAGCGCCGCCTCGACTCACGCGTTCTGCTGCCAGGGGGCGTGGCCGAGCAAGGGGGCGTGACCGAGCAGGGACAGGCCACGCCTACGAGCTAGAGCAGAGCGTTGTGGGCGGGGCCTGTGTCGCTGAGGAGACCGAGGGAGTCGTCTGCTGGAGATAGAAGGGAGTGCATCAGCTTTTTTGTTTCTTCTTCCAATGATAGACTAGATCAGGGGTCTCCAACCTGTAGCTCACCACCCCCTTCCAGGTAGCTCACCAAAGGATTTAGAAATGAACAAATCAAATAATATACTTAATAGTTCAGACTGTATCATTCATTATTATTATCTATTATTGTAAATGCACTGACTTTGTAGCACTTGTAACAAATATGCAAAGATAAATAATGACTGTACCTAATATCAGGCTCTTTCACACCAATATATCACCATTTTCTTTCCTAGGGCGGCTTAAAGGAGTAGCTCTCTGCCTTTGTCCTCCCGGGAAAGTAGCTCTCTGGGTGAAAAAGGTTGGAGACACCTGGACTAGATATTTAGTCTCAGATTTGCAGTTTAGTCATGTCACACCAGAATGATAGAGAAAGTAATTGGTTTAAAGCAAGGGTGCGTGACTTTAAAACGGCAACAGATTGAACTATGTAGGGAAAACATCCATAACTAACTCTAAGATAAGATAAACTTTATTGATCTCACAATGGAGAAATGTACATGTCACATCTGGCATAGATGGAATCACTCAGACTGTGCAAAAGACAGAAGTGTGCAAATAAACATGTTAAGATTCCTTCATTCCCACTTGACCCCACTCTCCTCTCCTCTATCCCAATTGGGAGTGTTTCCACTGGCCCTGTTTGACCGCTATTTGGGGTCTGGTTCTATCCAGGCCGAGCTGGTACATAAGTATTTTAACTGACATGAATTGGGTAGAGTGCTGCTGGAAGCCATGGTTGCCAAGATATTTCCCCAGACACTAGTTTGTTTTGGGTGAGTTACTAGGATACGGTAGCAGATACTAATGTGTAAAAGAAAAACAACCAGTTAGAATAGAACCGAGTCGACTAGAGTAGAACCGAGCCGACTAGAGTAGAGTAGGGCTGGTGGAAACGGGGCTTATCTATATTATTTTGTTCTGTCATTATATATTTAGTTTATTGTTTTAGTTTGACCCCTGTCACATCTTTAGATCCGCTTTTTCACATAAAGGGAGGACCACCCTCACTCAGCCAATCAGCTCTCAGCTAAAAGAGTCAAATAGAGACTCACAGGGTACAAAGTATGCACACAAATAACATTATATTTCTAATAAGGTAAAGAAATACGGACATGTTGTGGTCGGATTTGTTCACAAATTTGACTCTGAACATTTGAATACTGTTCTGTTTACTTCTGTGATTCAACAAACAATGTGAAACTATTTCCAGACCCATTACGCTCAAAGTTAGATCCTATATATGTTATAAAGTTGAAAACTGTCTCAAAGCTGTGAAAACCCGAATAAAACAGCTTAGAAAAGTGGAATAGAAATAGAAACAGAAATGAGCTGTAAGCCATAGTCATAAACATGAGAAGAAGGCCATGTGTCACACTCTGATGTAGTGAGTTTCACCTGCCTGTGAAAGCAGTGAGGTGTGTTCTCAGCTGATCCTCGCTCTATAGATGTGTAATGTTTACTGGCTGTGTTGAGTCAGCCTTTGTGAGCTCCTCGTTTTACCAGAAGTCATTTTGGGAAGCGGCCGTGCTGCACTGCCTTCCTGTGTTGGTTTCACTGTTTGCACACAAGCCTGCTCAGCTGAACCGCTTCTCTGCACACCACTTCTCAAAAGTACGGGGTTTCTGCATGACAGGTTTTCAACATCTGGTCGTACCACAAACAATGGCTGATGTTGCAAAATGACAAATGAGGAAAGGTATTTTTACACGCAGGAGAATTGTCACGAAGTTTAGAAACTTTAAGTATTATCACACGGAACTGCCCCACAGGAAGGAAAATTAATGAGTTACAGTAAGCAGACATTTAAATTAGATTTTCAGTATCGTGAACTCGGGTCCACAATGACAATCTGGTTAATGATAAGATAAGTCTATATGTTATTTGTATATTATTTATATTTCAAGTCCTGCTCTGATTATGCAAGTCGAATTTACATCTGAAAGTTTTGAAAAAGACCAATGTTAAGAGTCTGAAGATACAACAGGGGCAAACTAAACAAAGTCATAGCTTAATCTAATGTAATCATTATTCGAATTCTTTTAAACCCATAAAAACAATTCACATTCCAAGCAAGACACGCAATCACATGTCACACCACCAGCTGAAACTGAGATGAAACTGTAGCCTTTATTAATAATGCAAAGTCCTTCTCAAAGTGCATTTTACAAGAAAATTTAAAAAAAGCACAAAAAACTGTCTTATCTTCTCACATTATTCTCATATTCTGTCTTAAAGAAAACGTTACCAAAATAAGTACATGATTAGTGTAAGTGTGTGTCATGTAGTCTCCATGGAAACTGCATCCAATAAGTAGTGTGTGAACAGAAACTCCTGTATGGTCACATCTATATTCTCAGTTGCATTTCTGTTTGGTTACACATTAACCATTTGTAGGTAATGATCTGCGTGTTAAATCATGGACCAGCAAAGGAGGATTAAATTCAGTGCTACACAGGTTTTCAGAATGTACAAGGAAGCTGTGTGCTCTGTGGTGAAGGGGAGTGTGCTAAGAATCTATACGTAAATCAGTAACTATTGATTGCTTATACACTCATAGAATATCTACTTTGTTGCATTTATGCAAATTCAATGTTCCCACTGTGAGACAAACTAATGTCTTCCTACCATATTAAACAGAGATAATAACCTATACCGGCTGCAAAATGGAAAATACGTATAAATTGATTGTCTTTCTTTAAAGTTTTGGATACATTTTTTAACTGTGGTTATGTTCAGTCTCAAACCCTTTAGTCCAGAAGGAGCCAGTCTGAACATAAGCTATCTGTAGCCGATTTCCTAATATTCTACATTTCTGACAATGGGGTGACCTATGCACTGTCGCAGGGGGAGGTGCAAACTATCCATCCATCCATTTTCTACCCCTTAATCCATTATTGGGTCGGGGGGGGTGGTGGCAATCAGAGATGCCACCGAAGTCACATAGCACCAGCCCCTCACTGATCCTCCTGCTGGTGGTGAGTCTACAGGAGGATGGAGGTTGGGTTAAGTATCTTGCCCAAGGACACAACGACAGCAGACATCAGTGGGAGTCGGTGTCGAGGTGGGATCGAACCCTCAACCTCCAGGCCCAAAGGCCAATGCTCTACCAACTGAGCTACTGTCGCTAACTAATGCAGACTCTATAGCATAGTTGGCAGGTGCAAACTAATGTTTTGCTAACATGGTTGCTAAGGCAAGCTCATATCTGGATTTACAAAGACACAATCCAAATGAAAACACCAGGATCATAGAGAGCGCTAAACCACAGATTTTTAAACCCAAAATGGTGACCGTGAGACAAAAGGTTACGGAGCTAGTTTACTTTTCAATGTAAGACAATGGGAGGCAGGAGGGAGTAAGGGCAAAAGTTCGTCCATGGGCACTTCCCTTTTGTGCTTCAGTGAGGTAGCGGTTAGCATTTTTATACAGTCTATGGTTTCACAAATCACAAGAGGATGAAAAGTCTAGTTTGCTGAGAAAAAACAAACAAATACATATATATGAACTGCATACTCGTATTCATGCAGTTACAAAATCGTTACAGTCAGGTTCAGCTCAGTGCCTGCACCAACAACCAGACCTATCAATTGAGTTATTAGTATTTCCATCAACTCGTCCAAGTAACATCTTTACCATAATTAGCAATGTTTTCTTTTTGACTGCAGTAGTATTATAGAAACTACCAATCTCAGCCCTGCCCCTCCAGACGGAAGAGATTCACCCATAATGCCTGCAACTATCTCTGGGATAAAAACCCCAATGTCGTCAAAGCATTTTAAATGAGGGCTAGTAATTGGGAAATTGCAGGCTTGTTGCTGAAGACACGACTGAGCTGACGTATTTGTGAGTAATTGCTTGGGTGCATACCAGCGGATCCCCGGCATTCCTGCGAGTCCCACATGCAAAACGCTCATCTATTGTTCAGGCCTGGACTTGTCTATATAAAAGAGATACCTGTCTGCCAATGGCGGCTCCCCAGCGCTCTCACAAAGGAGCTCGAGCAATGGAAGAACACAGCGGAACAAGTAGCAACATCCAGGCACCTGAAGGCCTGACGGACAGAAGCTGGGATGGGTCAGGACAGGGGCGGTGTTATCATGGGACTACATGGGATAGGCCCACAGACTACACTCATGAGCACGGATCAACAGTCACACCACACCTTGTAACAACCTGGGAAACACCTCTCGTCTAAAATAACTTGGCACGAAGGAGATCTGTCTATTTCAATACCACGCTACGTCGGAAACTCTCAGGAACCTTCAGCTCGGCTCTCAAGTCATTACTAAATGTCACCTCCACCTTTTTTTTCCATGTATATTTTCGTGAGATTTTTCCTATGTAAACCGCCATACAGCTTCAGTTAAACAAGTTAACAGAGTAGTTCAGTACTACACGGTGATTATAGTAAAACATCAAATAAAAACATTAAAAACAAACACACAGAAAAACTGGGCCTTCTAAGATTGTATATTATGAATCGTTTTTTCAGACTCAAGATAAAATTGGTCCATCCAAAAAAAAATATGACAATGCATTCAAATGAATAGTTACTCTTTAATTTAGAGAGTAATCAAATCCAAACAGTGTAAATAATTGTAAGGTTTTTTAAATTTTTTTAGTTGTCGTGTCGGCTGAAAAGTCTCTAATAACGTCCACATATTTTTTTTAAATATATGTTTTTTTGACTACAGAAGGTAGGTAAAGCGGCACCTCCATTTTCATTCCAAAACCAATTCCAAACAGGCTTTTCATTGTCAGATAACTAAAGGTGAAGGTAAAGGTGCACTTTATTAATCCCCGTAGGGCAATTCATCCTCTGCATTTGACCCATCCTGATGCCGCTAAGGCTTACATCAGCAGCAGTGGTCGCCGTAGCAACAGCGCCCGGGAACCCATCTGCAGATATTGATGCTCGGCTCGGTCAGGACCAGAGCTGGAGTATTTAACCTAGTGTGCATGGTTAGTGTGCACCCTAAACCTACACAGGCACCGGGAGAACATGCAAACACCACTCAGACAAACCCTGTTCCATACTTTTTATTATAATTGCATTTCTTGTGTTTAAACTGTTTCATTCTCTGATCTGCGTTGATGAATTTGATGGTTTTGTCAAGTCCATGTTGTGATTTAGGGCGATACAAAAATCGGGGGGGGGTGTCGGGTCCTAGGGGGCGGGTGGTAGGGGGTGGGGGATGAGGTTTGCCTTGCTCCCTTTTGTTTCTCTCTGTTGTCATTGTTTACACACTAATTTAATCTCCTTCCCAGTACTGTTCTATTAAATTGTACGTATTCAAGCTACTAAAAGCTTCAATAGGAAGTATTCTAACACTTCTTGGAAAATTTATGTTTATTTTTTTTTATTTTATTATTATTGTTATTACTTTTTAATTATTATTTCAATTTGTTTTTATTTGTTTTTTTTTTTTTTTTTTTTTTGACGGGGTTTTTTTGTGTGTGTGTGAGCTGTACTCATCCCTGCACTCTCCTTGAAAATAATAATAAAAAATTGATCACAAAAAAAAAAATACATTGAATTGAAAGTCAGTATTTTGATTGACAAGAAGTTTTCGCCCACACCATGAGCCTGCGTCACACGCTGTAGTGAATGTTATCGGAGGGAGATGAGTTAGGCTTGACGACCTCTGAGCCTGGACACGCCTCCCTCACACACTCCACACCTGCACGCCATGAAAACACACGCTCTGCTCAGGTCTGTGGCTCTTGGACTGGATCTGGCACCCGTGGCCCATGATGAATGTGCATTATGTAATTACTGTCACTTTTACGAGCAGCTCAATAGAGACGCAATCGGAGCAGGTTTTTGTAACTGGTATTGGCAACAAGAACGATGATTAAAAGTGCCTGTGTACATATTGGCACAGACTAAACCAAAGAAAATTGATTTAATATTTACAATTATTCAACACAAATCACATTATTCAATCTCTGAGCTCAGATGTAGAGTTTATAGACTCTCAATAACAACTAAATTATGAGTACAAATCGAAAGAGTTTATATTTTATTAGTTTGGATGTAAGGTGTAATTATCTCCAATCCATTGAGCTCTGTCTTTTGTCAGTGGAGAACAATCAATCAATCAAGATTTATATTTATATTTCAGAACGTGCACATCACAAACCCACAGAACAGAGGAAAATACATACATTATGAGTTTTAAAAAGAGACTGGAATGGGTTGAGTGGTTAGCAATCTCGCTTCTCAGCAAGAAGATCCTGGGTTCGAATCTTGGGTCTTTCTGAGTGGAGTTTGCATGTTCTCCCTGTGTCTACATGTTCTCCAACCACTAAAAATAATACAATCGGTATGAATGTGATGAGTTTCGTTTCTGTTTTGAGCATGTGTGGAGAGAATGGAACAATATCTGAACATGTAAAGTACTTCCAACCCCGCTCACCCTTCAACGCAGAGCTGATAACAAGCACTAAGTGTAAGTGTGTATGAGTATTTTCTTTTTTAATCTCTTACTTTTTGCCGAATGGAGTGAGGGCAGACATATGATAGTTTTACAATGGTTATGGTCAATGATTTGTCTTGTTGTGAATTGTAATTACACACCAGCCTGTCCAGAAATGATGGGTGGAAATTAACTTGGTATAATACATACCTTTGAAGTCAATGTTGTTTGTACATTGTCAAAGTCTGTCCAAATAAATAAATAAAATAAACATTAAAAAAACAAAAATAACAACAGTAGAAATGTTGCACAATACAACATAATATATGGAACAACACACACGCATATACAAGCACACACACACACACACACAGAATGCAACATAACAAGTCTACCGCACACATTTACTGTACAAGCTTGAATGGCAGTGTGTGTGTGCGTGTGCGTGTGTGTGTGTGTATGTGTGTGTGTGTGCGTGTGTATGTGTGTATGTGTGTGTGTGTCTGTGTGTGCGTGTGTGTGTGCATGTGCGGGTGCGTGTGTGTGTCTGTGTGTGTGTGCGTGCGGTGTCTCTGTGTCTGTGTGCGTGTGCGTGTGTGTGTGTCTATGCGTGTGTGTGTGTGTGTGCGTGTGCGTGTGTCTATGCGTGTGTGTGTGTGTGTGTGTGTGCGCGTGTCTCTGTGTCTGTGTGCGTGTGTGTGTGTGTGTGCGCGTGTCTCTGTGTGTGTGTGTGTGTGCGTGTGTGCGATTATGAATGCTATGAAACCTCAAATAGCCCATGTGCAGAGCTGACAAACGTGTGTGTAGTCACCTCGCTGGAACCCAAGCTCCTGACAGCAGCGTTTGAACAATCCTGTCTATTTATTACTATTTGCTTTACTTTGATTTACACGATGTCAGCCCAGTCCAAAGACTAAACCATGGCAGACCAACAACACTGCTACAACTACAATGTATTTTTTTTTAAAACACAAATCACATACAGTACCCTAACCTGAATATGAATCTTATTTGTGTATTTTCAATTGTGGCCATGACTAAAACCTACATCTTATAATTACTGTTTGAAAAAAATGACTAGGAGCAGAGAGAAGAAAAAAATCTGCTGCCAGCCCCTTTCTTAATCAGGCTCAAAATATAAAAACATTGTAAAGATGGACCTATATTTATATGATTTATTGTTGTCGCTTTGATTCTTTTCTTAAACATGCAGATATTTGCAGATATAGTTCCTGTTTGAGTAGATTCCATTGTTTTACTGCGATCTTCCCATGTGTTTCTGGGAGGTTCTGCCAAATATGTGTGTGAATATTGTTATAGTTATAGAGCTCTTCGACCCACAGTCTAGTTACATCACGACAGACCGATACATTATTCACCATTGTCAGCAGAGAATATGGGGTGAGGTGGTGTGTTGCCCAATGACACACCAGTGTTCTCATATGGAGCTGTCAAACCTCTCATTCAGTTATGAAAGACTCCCACACACCCCATAAGCCAACAATTGCAATCAAATGATAAACAATAATAATAAAAGATAAATTTATATTGGAGTCATTTGAAATGCTTTGGCAATTCTTGGATATTGACTGAACATGAATTTGTCCTTCTCATATAATCTGTATTTGAAATGAACGTACACGTCTTAAAGTGGACATATCGTGTTTTCAAATAATTGATTTTTACATCTAAATCATTAATTTGTGGCCTATATAAAGCGTAACTGCAATGCCTGGGTCTGAGTCTCATTATTTGTAGCTCCACGGGCCTTTCTTCTACACCTGTTCTGAGGTGCGTCTGAGAGCAACCTGTTTTGGTGCTGTCTCTTTAAATGCAAATGAGGCGCTTTTGACCACGCCCCCATCCAGGTGACACAGGTTCAACTCCACCCCGAGCGGCCATTTTCGTAGTTTCTAAGCACAGATACAATTATCTCATAGAAACTTCTCATTACATCGCAAGCATGAAGCAGTCCCTCCTCACTGACTGAAAGCAAATGTTAATTTTCATTCTTAGTCCAGTCTTATTATCGACTCTTCTCTTTTTAGCTTTGGGATCCATGCGCACAGTCTATGATGCTCACATGCCGGTTTGTTTACAACAGCGGCCGCCTGGCGCTGGCCTACGTCGCAGGATATGACACACTACGTTGACAGAAATGTTTCAATTGAATATTACTTATGCACAATTTTACAGCATTTAAAAACGTTAAAGTTTTTCCTTCTACAGAAGGAAAAAGACGCATGCGCCTCCGGAGCCGCAGGTTGCCGACTCCTAGTTTATACAGTATGTGGAAGCAAATACTGTAGAGGATCAGGATATGTGCAGTTTCAACAACAAAATAAAATGCAATAGTCTACATTACAAGAGAGTAATAAACATGTCTCAGAGTGAGGGAGGTGGACACAGACAACAATATTGTTTGTTACGGGGTTGGGTCCATGGCCACGTTGAGGCTGCGCGCTCAGCCGCAACACGGTGGAGCGGCTGCGAGCGGCTCACAGCCTCTCGCAGCCGCTGGACGCGGAAGCTGCTCATTACAAAGCGGCCGCAGATGCCCCGGAACACTGCGGCCGCTGAGGTGGCGGAATCCCGTTCGAGTACATACAGCAGGTGCCCCGCAGATACGCGCGCCCCGCTCGAACAATTCTCAACGGATTTACACTTCTCACAAACATGTGTTTTGTATGAGGCAGACAGACCGGCCCAAATATGGGCATCGGCCCTTTGGGAATTGCCCGGTATGCCCGATGGCCAGTCCAGCCCTGTTCGCTGGCATCCTTGAGCTTGGACTACAAATTCGAAGTGATGCACAGTAGAGGAGGGCTGGGCCGAAGTGTTTTGTTAGACGCCCATGCCCTTATATAGCAGTCTCGCTGCAAATACTGTGACGTAACAATTCTAAACACGTAATAGAGAATGGCAAAATCAGAACGGGTTGAAAAATCTTACCTAAACAGAATATGAAGTGTTCTCTGTAACCCATGAAGAGACTGATTTCAACTTTTTTGCACTTCTAGAGGCTCCAACTTCACAACATAAGGCATTTAAGGCACAAAAAGTGGATTTTTCATGATATGTCCCCTTTAAAAGTGATGTTGGTTACTTACATTTTTAGAAGGATGTACCTTACTGTACCTCCAGTACTTTCTGGAGGTAAGGTACATTCTTCCAACATACAAGCCACACTTATAAGATGCAGGTTTTCATATTGTGAGCAGTGGGAGCGGGTCCACGAGCATTTGCACTAACATACTTGCAATACCACCCCGAGCCAGTGGGGGTGGACCCAGAAAGAAAATTATCCAATGCTTTTGTATGCCGTCTTCTTTCCTCTCAAAAACGTCTTTACAGGATGGTCCTAAAAATTGCTCTAAGCCCAAAGCTACATTCCACATGTGTGTCAATGCTGAAGGGAGTGTTTTTTGGACCAGTCTAGTTTACCTGCTATGGTCTTCAGAATGCACTTGTTATATGAATGGTAGCTGGTGCCGGCTACCTTTCTCCTGCAGGAGGGGCTGCCTGTGGCCAGTTTGAAAAATCCCTGTAGAAGCCAAAAGTGGTGGCACATTAGTTTCAACGTCGGAGATAGTCGTGACTACAACCGTTAATATTTACAGTCTATGGTTGTGATATGAGACTAAAAGACAAAAAAAGCAGATAAACTGTTTGACCGTTTTTCTAATGGAACATGCGGCCTCCATCAGAAAAACGTACACTTGCTTTTTGAACTGTATAAATTGGAATAATTGGCCAATACTGTTCCTTACAAGTACGCGTTGAGATTGAGAAGACTCTTCAGGATAAATGGATTCGTCATCTATGAAGCTGTTTGATTTCATACTCGGACAATCACACACGTATTTGTAGTCGCACAGATAAACATCTCTTCGAGAGCAGCTGCACATTGCTCTCGTATTTACCAACTTTATAACCACACCGTAGCCGTAGAGCGCCTTCCCTTTGGCCTGTACCCTTCAAAAAGCTCTTGAATCTCCAACATGCATTAACCTTTGAGGCCTCTCCCGTCCGCTCCGTCTGAGTGGACCCTTAGGTGACAATGACCTCCTCCCAGACTCATGTTCAAAGCCCTATCAGGAGTCCGCTGCCATGGCAACGGCAGAGGAATGCACGCACTTTGGTGGTCTCTTTGATGATCGATTCCAAGAGTTCTGCATTGGAGAAAATATGGCTGAGGTGAGGGAAGGGAGGGAGGAGAGGCAAAGGGGGAGGGGGCCTTGAACAAAAGGCTGCTCTGGCTCTGCTTCCACGGGTCAAGGCTTATGAGGGGCCGGAAGTCACCTTTTACATTATGCACCACTCCAGGTTAGGAC